GGGGGGCTGGGTTGCCTCGTGTCCCCCCCAGGGGAGCACGCCCCCCCCACTTTGGGAACCCATGTTTAGCCTATCTCACTGTTACGCCGGTTTGAATCCCGGCCCCGTGCAGTGGATCGTTATGACCACAGGGCTACGGTGTTGCCTCTCGTCTAAGACGCTGTCACAGCACTTCCCGGTGTCTGGAGCGCCCCCGAGCCAGGGCAAAGGGCGTCCCCAGCACCGCAGCCTCCGAATCTGGGGGTTTGCTCTGCCCCAAGTACTAGGTCCCACTAGCGCAGCGGGGCCGGTTTGAATCCCGGCCCCGTGCAGTGGATCGTTATGACCACAGGGCTACGGTGTTGCCTCTCGTCTAAGACGCTGTCACAGCACTTCCCGGTGTCTGGAGCGCCCCCGAGCCAGGGCAAAGGGCGTCCCCAGCACCGCAGCCTCCGAATCTGGGGGTTTGCTCTGCCCCAAGTACTAGGTCCCACTAGCGCAGCGGGTCTCTAACGGGCTCACGGCCCACCCCACTCAACGCGGACCTTCCCGCGCACCACCAGCCACCTGTGAGGGCAACACGGGTGCAGAAGGGGGTGGGAATGGGGGAAGATCCCCGGCACAGCCGCGGCTGGGGGGAGACAGAGCTTAGAGGCGCTGGTGCTGAGCCCGGTGGGACAGGCAGGTGGGAGACCCCCGCTTGGCGAGGGTGGGCACCGTGGGGATGGGGAGATGGCTTGTGGTTCCTCCCTCTCTAAATCAGTCCCCCAGTCAATGACTGGAGGGAACTGCCACCCAAAGGCCGGTGTCTGTGAAACTGAGGTGGGTCGTAGTCCGGTTCCTGGCTGAGATGCGGCCAGACCGGCACCCATTGGCCGTTTGTGGTTGACCCCCCCAGGGAGGCTAAGAGCTGGAAGGCCATGCAGGTAGAACACACAGCAGGGGTGGTGGGGCGGCTGTGGCTACTGAATGCATGCTAGTGGTTGCAGTGTGGTGGCGGCTGACTGCACCCGGCGGTTACGATGCAGTGGTGGCTGAATGCACGC